ATAAGTAGCATGTATACAGTGCCTCATTATAAATCGCTTTGGCAAGACCACAGCTTGAATATTCTGTGCAATTTTGGGCACCTGTTCTAAAGAAGGATATCATGGCACTACAAAAAGTGCAGAGACGAGATACAAAATTGATAAAAGGTATGGAGCATTTTAGTTATGAAGAAAGGTTAAAAAATGTACATCTCTTTAGTTTGGAAAAAATGGAAATCTATTCATAAACAGGGCTGTAGATAGAACATGAGGTCACACATTTAGGCTGGAAGAAAGGAGATTTCATCTAAGACAAAAAAAAGTTTATTTTACAGTAAAAACTACAAGGATATGGAATTCTCTGCCTGAAGAGGTGTTTTTTTCAGAGTCCATACAGATGTTTAAACAGCAATTGGATACATACTTACAAAAACATAACATACAGGGATATAATTTCTAATTATTGAGGTAATAACTGCTTGATCCAAGGATATATCTGACTGCCATTTTGAGGTCAAGAAGGAATCAAAGTTTGTTGCAAAATTTTAAGCACTTCAGACTGGGTTTTTTGCCTTCTTTTGGATCAACAGCAAAAACATATGTGAGGAAGGCTGAACTATGTAATATGTAACATATTCTGCTGCAGTTTACAGCTGTAGAATGTGGATATTATCTGACAATAAGTAATTAACATACAAAAGCTAAGAGAATAGATTTTGGACGAATCATGATTTATGTGAAACCAAATACATAATTTTAGCTGACATTAACAACATGCCTATGCATAATTACATTGCACATACTGCTCCTAACCTTTTTCCATACAGTTGAACTGATAAAGATAGGGGGTAAAAACATAAATATAATAGAAATGGATATGAAAGAGTTGGTCATTTAATCCTCTGTTGATACAGGTCTAGAAACACAAAAGACCCTTATATAGCATAATACTGCATTTATCTTTATGAAGATCATATGTGACAAGTTACAACTCACAATTTCCAGAGCCAATTGTAGTAGGCTCTTGATAATGCTATAATGGCATGTAGATGGTAAGGATGCTTGGTTGCTGTTCCCACACTCCCGTTGTCCTCCTCAGATAGATCAGGACTCAAGTTTGAGGGTAGGGTTAACAATGAATTTATTCCAACAAAAAATTAAGAAATATATATATTTAATGCATAAATTGCAATAGATAAAACAAATCGGCAAGTTGTCCACATAATGCGTTTCGACCAACGGTCTTCCTCAGGAGTATACCTTTAACATGTTGTTCATGTCCTTTTATATGCTTAGAATATTTATTCCAAATTGGCTCCATTTTCCAGTGTGGCATCTTACTTCCGGATCCAATAAAAGCCCAACTTGAGCTCTTTCCCGTTCCAAGACGGGCTTTTGTAAGAGAGGTCCTATTTCCTTGTTTCTAATTTGTGCACATTTAACATGACATTGCACCATTGTGTTTTTTAATTGTGCCATTTGCAGCTTCCAAGATGCAACTGATGGCATTTCATTAGATTAACTTCTGATACCTTTCAATTTATGATGGAATTGCAGACCTGCAACATCACCATTTTGTTAATCTCACAATTCCACTGTGTTTATTTTGTAAACATTTAATTAATACTGATGAGTGACATAAAGTCTAGTATTAATCATGTTGAATATATATATATATATATATAGCTACTGCCTCGCATCTTTGCCTTTTGGCAAAAGCAGTTAGGGCCTCACCTGTCACATTCAACCTATTTTAAATCTCTTTAATCCTCACTGAGAGGCCAACACCACACCACAATGCTCCGTGACAAATGTATCCAATGGGCAAACTCACAGGTAGAGCCTTTCATCGTCACTTGGCAACTAGCTAGGTTCACAAGTCACCAATTTAGCTTAATTGTTTTGCCACTTGGCATAACATAGGTCAGCCAGTATCTTGGTGTTATACAGTATCTCCCACTAACAAAATCTTTCTCTCAGGTTTGGTTAGAAATGCTGATATAATGAAAAATGTATCTGCCAGGTGTATGTCTAATCATGCCACATTTATTGTTTCTCATTTACATTTTTCAAGTCACCACGTAAGTGACTCATTTAACGATACAACTTCCCTTCTTACAACAACCACTCACTCTACAGAACTTATGTTTAGCCTGGTCTGGCTGTTAGGGTTCCCTAAGTGACCATAGGTAGTTTTCAACTTCATGTGCTATTATTTAGGAGTCCAGCGAGGCCAACTCCCATCCTCAACTATGGAGGTATTTGCCCCTCATGCCAAATCATAGTTACTGCCTCACATTTCTGCCCTCTTGGCAAAAACAGTTAGGGTCTCACCATCACGGCCATCACTTATTTTGAATCTCTTTAATCCTCACTGAGAGGCCAACACCCTGCGACAATGCTCAGTGGCAAACATACCCTATAGACAAAATCATAAGTAGAGCCTCTCATCGCCGCTTGGCAACTATTTAGGTTTGGAAGTCACCAATTTAGCTTAATTGTTTCACCACTGGCATAACATAGGTCAGCCAGTATCTTCGGGTTATACAGTATCTCCCATTAACAAATTTTCTCTTTCAGGTATGGTTATAAATGCTGATATCATTTAAAGTATTGATTGCATAATGTTGACACGTATTAAAGGGTTAAACTTATCTTTTTGCCCTCTTTTTACAGGCCTACCCGAACATCAGTTTCTGCACACCACAACCGACTTATGCACCACTAACATAACTGGGCTTATTGTCCCTGACCCCAAAAAATTAAATAAACAATAGTTGTAATCCAATATATATAGTTCTAAGCAAAATGATTTAACCCCCATTGAAAATCAGGTTTATTGTCAGAATTTACAGACTTTCAGCTGTTTGCAATGAACAAATCAAACAAAAGCAATTGACATAGCTCAACACAGCAAATGTTTCAAGTGGTTTCTTCAAATTTAACTGAAAATGCAACTTATAATGACTTCTGGGAAGCATCTTTAGTACTTAGTAGAGCACTCTTTTGCTGTTATGACCTGCTGCAAACAAGATGCATAGCCAGACACCAGCTTTTGGCAGCATTCCTGAGGAATCTTAGCCCATTGTTCATGGCCAATGGATTCCAGTTCAGTAGTATTTTAGGGTTTGCAGTACCACCACCATCAACATTTCCATTAGTATTAAATAACTAAATACTAGTGTACAAGCGAATGTTGCAACAGCCCCTGCCCACTGCCCCTGATGCAAATCCACCCACATCCTCAGCAGAAGCAATGGTTGAGGGTAGTGTATTAAACCAACAAAGCAATGTTTTGGGATCACTTTAAGTACCTCCAAGAAGGCTAGCTTGCAAACTGCAAATTACACAGTAAGGAAGTCATTAGTGGGTGAGTGAAGGGTTATCTCACTAGTGCCGGTATGAAGCAACATCTGCAAGGATAACGCAAGTTTATACTTACTGAGGTGAAGGAGCAGAACAAGAAAGTACTAGGGCAGGCAGGCAGGCAGGCAGGCAGGCAGGCAGCAGGCGCATATCTAATTCTGAACAGCTGTCACAACCTACCACAAGCACTACAACCTTCATTACCACTACCACTGCTCTTAGGCAGAGTAGGGAGGATTTTAAGGATAGTGCCATTAGTGGACAGAGGCAGGTTGGACATGAACAGCTGGATCCCTTATCATCCGGTGAATAAAAAATCCCTTTTTTAATGTCTTACCAACTCTGGTGTATCTTATCCCCCATTTTGCCCTTCATGTTTCTCTTAATTCATCCAGCCCCTTTGTGTGTCTGTTACTTCCTCCCAGCCCCTTTGTGTATCTCTTTCTCCCCCTAGCTTTTTTGTATGTCTCTTCTTCTTTTTAAGCAACTACTTATTCCTGTCTGTCTGTTTGAACAAGATACTAGAAGTAAAAGCAGCTTCAGCAGTATCTCTTCCATTATACCAATCTCATGGAAAGCAGGTGAATGTTGAGGATTGCACTAGTTTTCAACAAAAGCAGTTTGGGTAAGAACAGTTGGAATCATCATTCCAGGGAAGTGTACTTTAGCCCCACTCTTGAACATTTTGTTGGATTTCAGTACATTGCTATGTCAAAACAGCAGGGTAACCTGTCTGATTTCCCAGAGATACAAGTGCTCCTACTGACCAGCATGCTTTTCTTTCGTTGACAGCACAATGGTACCTGGGTATGGTGGTGGTAGTGAATGAGGTCCAAACTTACTGCAAGCCATACTTGAGCATTGCAGGAGGATTGCCAGGCATCTCCACCGTAGTGTGAGGCTAGCCAACTCTTCAGACAGGAGCAAGAGAAAAAAGGATTTCTCACACATCATTACAACAGATTGTCTGCACCTTGTGGAACACCACTTTATAGCATAGGCGTGTGCAGTGTGTGTGTGTGTGTGTGCAGGGCCATCTATAGTATGAATAGGACCCCTGGCAAAGCCTTTTCTTGGGCCCCCTGGGCCCTGTCACTGCACCCTCCCTCCCCATTATGCCCAACCCGCAATCACACTGACAGACATACTGACACATACACACACAGACAGACACATTAAAACATTCACAGATACATACTGACACACACATACACTGACACAAAAATATATACTGGCAAACATTGACACACATTCAGACATACTGATACACACACAGACACATACATACTCACAGACACATACACTGACAGATATATTGACACAGACACACACAGACACATACACTGACAGGCGTATTGACATACACAGACATACTGACATACACACACACACACACTGGAACACAGTGAGACATACTGACATACACACACTGACATACTGACATACAAACACACAGACATACACATAGTATGTCTGTGTGTGTTAGTATGTCTGTGTGGTGTGTTAGTATGTCTGTGTGTGTGTGTTAGTATGTCTGTGTGGTGTGTTAGTATGTCTGTGTGTGTATGTCAGTATGTCTGTGTGTGTTAGTATGTCTGTGTGTGTATGTCAGTATGTTTGTGTGTGTATATATCTGTGTGTGTGTATGTCAGTATGTGTGTGTGTGTGTGTGTGTGTATGTCAGTGTGTCTGTGTGTGTATGTCAGTATGTCTGTCATAGACACAGACATACTTACATACATACACAAACAGACATACTGACACAGACATACTAACACACACACATACTAACACACACACATAATAACACACTAACACACACACACAGACACAGACATACTAACACACACACATACTAAAATACACACACAGACATACTAACACACACACAGACATACTAACACACACACATACTAACACACAAACACATACTAACACACTAACACACACACACACAGAAATAGACATACTAACACACACACATACTAAAACACACACACAGACATACTAACACACACACACAGACATACTAACACACACACATACAGACATACTAACACACAAACACAGACATACTAACACACACAGGCATACTAACACACACACATACTGACATACATTTAGCCACCCTCCAGGTTCTTACCTTTTTATGGAGGGTGGTTTCCCTGGGGTCCAGTGGCAGGCTGAGGCAGATGGGAGTTCTTCTCTGGAACTCCCCTCCTCCCTGCCTTCCTCCTCCCGCGCGGCTATCTCCGGTGGGAGGAAGTGACACGCGGTACTCACTTCCTCCCAGCCGGTACAGGAAGGGGCCCGGTCGCGCTGTTTAAGCGTCACACGCCCGACCGGGCCCCTTCTGCCACATGCCCACAGGGTGGCCCTTAGTGCATGGGCCACCCGGGGGCCTCCTTAGTTGGTGCACCGCAGGCCGCCAGGTACATGGGGGCTGCTGAAATTGCGGGGCCCACGGGGCAGCTGCTCTGGGGCCCCCCCAGGAGCAACTGGGCCCGGGGCAGCTGCCCCGTTTGCCCCGCGCTAAAGACGGCCCTGTGTGTGTGTGTGTGTGCTGCGTGAGAGTGGTTTGAGGGTGTTGTGTGTGTAAGAGTGCTGTGTGTGTGTGTGTGTGTGTGTAAGGGTGCTGTGTGTGAGGGTGCTGTGTGTGTGTGTGTGTGTGAGTGTGTGAGTGTGTGTGTGTAAGGGTGCTGTTAGTGTGATGTGTGTGTGATGGTGCTGTTTGTGTGCTGTGTGTGTGTGAGAGGGTGTTTGTGTGTGTGTGTGTGTGTGTTTGTTAGGGTCCTGTTAGTGTGCTGTGTGTGTGAGGGTGCTGTGTGTGTCTTTGTGAGGGTGCTGTTTCTGTGCTGTGTGTGAGAGGGTGAGGTGTGTTTGAGGGTGCTGTATGTGTGTGGGTGCTGTATGTGCGAGGGTGCTGTATGTGTGTGCGCTGTATGTGTGTCTGTGTGTGTGGTGTATGTGTGTGAGGATGCTGTATGTGTGTGTGTGCTGTGTGTGGGTGCTGTATGTGTGTGTGTGCTGTGTGTGTGTGTGCTGTATGTGTGTGCTGTGTGTGGGTGCTGTATGTGTGCTGTGTGGGTGCTGTATGTTTGTGCTGTATGTGTATGTGAGGGTGCTGTATGTGTGTGTGTGTGTGTTCTGTATGTGTGTGTGTGTGTGCTGTATGTGTGAAGGTGCTGTATGTGTGTGTGCTGTATTTGTGTGGTGTATGTGTGTGAGGATGCTGTATGTGTGTGCTGTGTATGTGTGGGTGCTGTATGTGTGTGTGTGCTGTGTGTGGGTGCTGTGTGTGTGTGTGTGCTGTGTGTGGGTGCTGTGTGTGTGTGGGTGCTGTATGTGTGTGCTGTGTGTGTGGGTGCTGTATGTGTGTGGGTCATTGTGGGGGGTGGAGATGGGGGTACATTACTTAATATCCCCCCTCCCTTCTTACCTTATGTAGGGAGGGGGGTTTCTTGTTCCTGCTGTTTTCCCTGGTGGTCCAGTGGAGAGTGAACTCTAGCCCCTGTGGGGCTAGAGTTCACTCTCGTGAGATCTGAGCGATCTCGCGAGAGGAACCCGGCGGAGCTGCTGGTTGAGCTCCCCGGGTCCTCTCCTGCCTCCCTCCATGCTGCAGTGGGGAGGGAGGCTGAGAGCAGAGCCGGCGCTCGGATAGCGCCGGCTCTGCATGAGCCGACAGGGGAGATCCTTAAATCTCCCCTGCCGGTCTCACTCCATAAGCGTGCCGTGGGGATTTAGGGTGTGCCCAGGCACAACCGGCACACCCCGTGCGCACGCCTATGCTTTATAGACATGGTGCAAAGAACTTTGGATCAGCAGAGGGCAATCCAAAATCTATATTTCCACCACCCCAGTGGTTATGACTCCCCATGGTTGTGTGAGTATTGTATGTCAGTTCTTACTCTATTTACGTATGTGACAGAAACTTTGAGTCACAGTAATGACAGTTTGGAATGGGTAATCCTTTTGTTCACCCCCCCAAAAAAAATAAATTACTCCTGCTGCTCCCGCTCACTTGCTGTTTTTTTTTAAATCGAGAAATAATAATATAATTTATGCATCTCAGAATAGGCATAGCACAAATGGGCCAGGCAATATTGTAGTTGTTTTGGGATGTCAGCACAGTCATAGGCACCATTTTTCCTGGTTTCTTGGCTGACAATAATTTGGTACCAAAATCCAGATGAGCCGAACAGCAGCATTAACTAAATTGTGCTGTCTAAAATGTATTTTTTTCTGCTGCAGAACCAATTTCTTCTCATTGCACAACTCTAGATATAATACATTATGTTCAAGGAAATAGAGAGTTGTTTTATACTTGATATATCCCTTCCAATGTATTTGTTAGATTATTTGGCCTACATTTACCAATGTGGGAGAAGTCTCATTTCATGTTTTTTAGATCAAATGTCTGTGCACTGAGAATTTCTCTTTTGTATCTTGGAATGCAGAATCTAACAGCACACTGTGACACCTGTCTTGTAGACACATGTTATACAAAAGCCTAGCTAGACATTTTTTTTGATGAACAGATGAAATAATAAAAAAAAATAAAATAAATAAATACAGGAAGAATACAAGCTCACACATGGCTACATACTTAAATTCCCATCTCTAATTATCCTTTACTTATATATTACATTGTTGGTCTCTCTGGTCACTCTCTATTAGTTTTTTATTAAGAAACATTTTAAGTATAAGAAAATATATAAACATATATATAATATAAATGCAATTCTTTAAAAATAAATATTTATAAATTATCTGATCATAAACATATATACACAAGACAATCCATCTAATCTGTTTTACTAATTTACAAAGTTTCTCCTATTAAGTAATAAATGAAGACAAACAAATTCAGGGAATACCTTAACCTTTTGATGAAAATCTTTCATATTGAGGTCTTAATTTTATTTATCAATTTCAAATACATGGACCAAAGGTTAACATCATTATTATACTGAGCTATTCCCTCTTTAATTTCCATCTGAAAGAGAAGCTGGTTCTGTAGGTGCAGTTATTTGTTTTCACTGACTTGCTATTATGAACTCGGCTGCCATAAGGCAGAGCAAAGTTCTTTAATGGATTCTCCCAATAAAGGTGTAAAAGCACGGTTTCTGGTTGTTTACTTAAATTAATAGTTATCATCCGTTTTGTAGCATATACCAGATCCCATAACCCAGATATTCCAAGCAGCTCCACCATATGGTGCCCTCTTTAACTAAACATTTTCAACAAAATGAAGAATTTGTCTGGGAAGTTTTTACTAATCTGGTTGATATTAACTACCATCTCTGCATGATCTTATATTGAGTCTCCTGGATATTAAGGCAATGGATGTATTTTTTAAGTTTCATAAATGTGTGGAGCACAATTCCTTATTTCAAATAGCTATTTTTAATTCTATCTCCCATTTTTGTTTTTGCAGAGGGATTGTCTGTTAGCCTTTTTCCTGGCACTTCAGGTCCCCTCTCCCTCCCACCTCCCATCCCCGGTTGCTGAAGGGGTGAAAATCCCTTCAGTGACTTACCAGAGGCAGCGACGATGCCCCTCGTCACTGCGTCTTCCTCCTCCCGCGCTCCTCCCCGTCACCATGTCAGCCAGCGGGGGAGACTGATCCCGTCCACCGGCGGGGGAGACCTAATGCACGTGCGCGGCATTGCCATGCACGCACATTAGACCCTTCCATAGGAAAGCATTGAAAATGCTTTTCAATGCTTTCCTATGGGGATTTTAGTGACGCTGGAGGTCCTCACACAGCGTGAGGACATCCAGCGATGCTATAGCAAAACCTGTGCTATAGACCAGGAAGTGCCCTCTAGTGGCTGTCTAGTAGAAAACTGAAAACTGCAATAATTACAGTTGCAGGGTTAAGGGTAGTGGGAGTTGGCACCCAGACCACTCGAATGGGCAGAAGTGGTCTGGGTGCCTGGAGTGTCCCTTTAATTATCTTGCAAAAGAATTGACTGTTTTAACTTTACTGTCATAAACATTTGCTGCATCAATTTATGCTTATCACCCTCCAATATTAGGAGATGTTACTTTAAAAAGTCTTTTACCTGCAAGCAGTTAAAAATCTCCCATTGGTGGAGACCAACTATTTAGACTAAATTGGTAAATGTCTTTAGATAGGAATTCAGGATAAGATCTCCTATTTGGTAATCCTCATGAATTTTCCATAATTTAAAATTGAGATCTGGTATCACTAACTCTGTTTTTTAAATTTGCTCTTTCACAGATTGTATTTGCTATCTTTCTTAATTAGTTGACATTCTTTCATTAGATGCTGTAAGACAAGTGAATTATCTTCATTCAATATATACCCTGAATTCCCGGGATCACTCCAAATGAGAGAAGATAAATCATCCTCCCCATATCTTCTTGTTTCGATTTTATACCATGCCTGTTCAAAAGAATGAATCACTTACAATTTGTGGATATGTACTTTTATATTATCCCAGTATATCTCCTTTATTAATGGGTATCCTATGAGTAGCTTTTATTGGTTAAAACCTGTGAGTTAATGTAAGGTATTTTCTCCATCAAAAATGAGCTTCTATTGCATTCTTTGGATCAACTATAATAATAACACCCAAGTACTGAATTTCTGTTTTTGCCCATTGAAAATTATATGTTTTCTTTAAAGTATGCTACATATTATCTATATATTATTTGTGGTCAGGGAAGAAGGCCGTATTTATGTGGACCTATACCTCTAATCATTAGTCTAATATACTAAGTCGGTTG